GGGGCGCGCGGGGGCTGCCCGCCCGGCTGACCCCGACCCCTGCCCTGCAGGCGAAGCGCGCGGGCATCACCTGCATCGTGCTGCCGGCCGAGAACAAGAAGGACTTCTACGACCTGGCGGCCTTCATCACCGAGGGGCTGGAGGTGCACTTCGTGGACCACTACGACCAGGTGTTCAGCATCGCCTTCCCCGGCCCCGAGCGGCAGGCCGAGGCCGAGGCGCTGGCCGTGGAGCGGTGATGGCCGCAGAGGCCCAGGGACACTGACGCCGGCCCCCGAGGGGCCGCGGCCCCGACACACGGCGCCCAATCATGGCGCGGCGCGCCCGGGCCCTCGTATTTAATCATGAGTAAAGACGCATTCGCACAACCCGTCGGCCTCCTGTGTTTCCCGCCCGAGCCCAGACAAGAGGCGCCACGCACGCAGATGGGGGGAGCAGAGGTTTATTGGGGGGGGGCGGCGGTCTCAGTCCTTCTTGGCGGCGGCCTTCCTCATGGCGGCCAGCACGCTGCTCAGCTCCTCCCGCTTCCTCTTGGCGCGGATGTGCGTCCCCACCTGCGGGGAGAAGCGCGTGGGCTCGGGCTCGGGCCCGCACCCCCGGACCCCGCCGGCCCGCCGACCACCTACCCTTTTCTTGATGAACTTGAGCGCCCGCTTGTCCTTGGACACCTTGAGCAGCTCCATGGCGCGCCGCTCGTACGGGGCGAAGCCGCACACCTCGCGGATCATGTCCCGCACGAACTTGGTGTGCTTGGTGAGGCGCTGCGGGGCGGGGGCTGCGTCAGCGCGGCCGGGCTCGGGGATTCGGGGGTCCTGAACCCCGGGGAACCCCCCCGCGCTGTCGCGATGCCTCGCCCCCCCTCTACATTCCAACCTCTGTCAAACTCCTACTCATGCGGCAGAACCCCAAGCTCGGAGGCTCCCGCCCGCCGCGGCTCACTAGAGCGAGGAAGGCCCCAGGGCCGGGCCCCGGCGCACCCGGCTCCCGCACTCACCCCGCGCCGGCGGCTGTGCCTCGGCTTGCTCACGTTCTTGGTCACTTTGTGGCCCTTGTTGAGGCCCACGGCCATGGGGTAGCGCAGAGCCATGGCTGCGGGGAGAAGATACCGAGTCCGTGCGTGGCCCCTGCCTCCCGGAACCCCGCTCCCAGGCTCCCTTCGGCGCTCTCCCCACCCCCAGCCACAGTCCAAGCGGACTACAGTGCGAGGGACCGCGGATGGCAGCGGATGCGGGCTCGGGATAAAACGCCAACCTGCAGTTCTCCGATGGCTGCTGCGGCGGAAGGGCCGGCACCGCACGGAACCCTGGGATATTTACTCCGAGCTGGAGTCGTGGGCTAGAGAGACGACGGCAGCACGCGCGCCCCCTGGCGGCCGGAGGCCCCAGCAACAGCTCTGAGCATGCGCACCGGTGCTTCCCCCCCCCCGCCCCCGCGCGTGCGCGTGCGCATTTCCTTGGGAATTATCCGACACCGCCTCCACCCGAGCGGGCGTGGCCTTGGGTGCTGGGGTGGGAGTTAAGAATTTGGTTTGTTTTAAACCCGCTGAGCACCTCGCTATAGTCCCTCAAGTTCGAATCCAGGTGAGGGCTGCGAGGGGTGGTGCGCGCCTGCAATCTCAGCACTCAGCATGCCAGATTGGAAGGCAGCCTGGGGTACCCAGCAGGTTCCGGGCCATCTTGAGCTGTCTCTGATGAAAAGTTTTGAAAAGGTTGGGGAAGGTGTTTGAGTGGTGACGTTCTCCTCTCACAAGCCCCAGGCCCTGAAACGCAGGACTAGCCGGGCGCTGGTGGCTCATGCCTGTGATCCCAGCTACTCAGGAGGCCGAGGTGAGGCTCAAAGCCAGCCTGGGCAGGAAGGTCTGTGAGACTCTTACCTCCAACGAACCACCAGAAAACCGGCAATAGTGCTGCGGCTCAAAGTGGTAGAGTGCTAGCCTTGAGCAATATTACTCAGAGCGCCCAGGCCCTGAGTTCAAGCTCAACGACTGACCCCTCCCTACCCCCCAAAAAAGGTAGTCCTGGATGAAAATGGAAATTGAATCCCACTTCAGTCTTAAAGGCAGGCCCTGTGCCTGCAACTTAACCCTTGATATTCACATCTGTGCAATGCAATTAATAATGCCCTAGTTCTGCAACTATAAACAGGGGGCCTAGGTGTTCTGCAAACACCTGGCACTGCGCCCCTGGTGTCTAATGATGCAATTTAAGGTGCTGATGGGAACAGTGAATTGGTGGAAAGAGAAAGGTTGCAGATTTTTTTCTTTTAATCCCATTTATCCTCATGAGTGTCAGTTTGGGAGTTGCAGAGTGAGCCCATTATTTCCAGTCTGAGATCCTTGGACAGAACAAGGCATAGTGTTTAAAATGTTGTATTCATCCTTTTTCTTCTTCTTTCACTGATTACTGGGGCTTGAAATCAGGGCCCACAACTGTGGCTCAGCGATTCCACTCATGGCTGGTGTTCTACTCTTGAGCCTCCAGGATGGCTTCAATCTACAATCCTTTGATCTCCACCTCCTGTGTAGCTCAGATTACATCCATGAGCCACTAGTGGCCAGCTGTTGATAGCTGTAAACCATTGGTGGTTTGCAGATACATAGTTCAAATGGGGCTGGTGCAAGAACCCCAATTCCTGCCTCCCTCCCACCCCCCACCCCCTCCCCCGCTCTAACCCTCTGTGTTTTGATTACAAAATAGGAGCACCCTTGGGCTGGGAAGAGGCCGTCTTGCAGGTCTGATGAGCTGCGGTCCCCCTTTCCACCCACCGCTGGGGTGGCCGGTGAAGCCTCCATACCTTTCTACCTGAGTAGTTCCGGCCCCTTTCCCTGAGAAATTTGAGCAGGTGGATGGAAGCAAGGCAGGAACTTTTATTATGAAGTGGGGAGCTCCCTCACCCTCCTCCTCACCCTAAGACAAGAGTTCCAGACCTGGGTCTGGAGAAGGTCCTAGAGGTCGGGCTGGGAGCTGGGGCAGGCCCCACGGGCGGCGTGACCCGGGGTTGGGTCACATCACTGCCGTGGGCCTCAGTTTCCCCGTCTAAAAAGTGGAGGCGATGACGTCACTAGCGCCGGCCCGGTGACGGGGGCGTGCGCGTTCGGGGGGGGGGGCGAGCACCCGCACCGGGCCGCAGCTCGCCTTTGCCTTTCTGTCCTGGGCTGTGGCCGGCGGCACGTCTGCAGGTTGCACGGGCGGCGGGATGGACCGTGAGGGCCG